TATCTATCTATCTATCTATCTATCTATCTATCTATCTATAATTTCAGTAGATCACAAACTTATTAACAGCTACTTCCTGACTGTCAGCCCTAAATATTGTGGATTTTAACCATCCCTTATTGCTATTTAGAAAACATGGCAACACTAATCTCTCTCACTCTCTCTCTGCTATCTCTCTGTCTTGCTAAATCCTTTTGTTAGTTCCAACTAAAGCAGACACATTGAACCAATTGGTTTGTGTTAACTCACCATTTAACAATTAATTCGTTAGGTTTACTCCAGTTGGGACTAACCAATTGGGTTCAGGATTCTTTGAGAATGTATACATTCGCTGGGGTTAGGGGTGAAGAACCCCCCTGAATGTGGAAAAAAATGCAAATAAAAACAACAACACTGTTCTTTTTATCTGAGAAAACACCTCTCTAGGAATCTCCAGGTCCTCCAGTGCAACTCTGTGATCAACATCTGCCAGACATTGACCATAGAATTGCGCTGGAGGAGCTACAAATGCCTAGAGAAGTCTTTTCTCTAGGAATTTCTAGTTTCTCCAGCACAACTCTATGGTCAGCTCCTGGCAGAGTTGCCCTGGAGGACTTAGAGATTCCTAGAGAGAACCTATTCATCAGAACTGCAAATAATCAAAGCTGCAAATGTGAAGGGCCAACTGTACTATTGTTTAGACCCATGGTTCTCAAACGTCTCTTTGTTATGTTTTCCCCAGTCATTTTATCAGTGCAACTGTATCCAACCGTGATAAGAACAAAAAAAAACACCTTTCCATAGAAGGGTATTTATGTGTTTAGAGGCATTCTGCTGTAATATTACTTAACTGTGGTAAGGTTATTTTAAAAATGTGGTGCTATTGTTGGGAGCAAACACAAGTGTCCATTGTTACTACTAGTATGCCAAAAAGTCACAAATAGATCATCTATTGCAAGGAAGATTGTGTCACATTTGCAGGAGGACCTGAGGATTGGAGGGGAACAAACTCGCAGTAAGTGCTAGCAAAATCCTGCACCCCACGTAGGCTACACCCATAATCTGTTTGTGACAGCTGGCTAAGGATCCTTAGGCTGAAGCCTCTAATGGCTATAGGAATCATCTGGACCATAGAATACTCCCCCTCTTTGAGCAAAACTGACTGGACCATTTAATCCATGGCCAAGGCAGTGCTGGAGCTTTCTTTGGGACTAGATGACTTGTACATACACAGGGACAGTTTTCACACTAGCCCAGAGTAGTCGCCTGTGGTTTCTGTGTCAGTGGGGCGGTGGATCCACTCCAGGTTTTAACCTCAATTTTAATATGCTGTCCAGGATGCGGAACCCGTTCCCCAGAATAGGTTCATCACCTGAGACAGCTCCTTTCAACTTTTTACAAAAACTGAGGGTGGATTTATGTCCCACATTGGCATGGGGGGAATGGGAGAACCAGCTACCGTTCTATTAGCCCTACATTTTCGTGTCATTTGTCAGGAACTGAACTTCACCTCCCCTGTTTTGTTCCTGCTAGACTAACAGTTTTGTAAGGCACTGCTGGATACATTCTGAGAAAACTGTCCTGTAACAGAGAGGTTCATCAGTAAGAGAAGACAAAGCTATTGCAGGACCTTGGAAAGCTCCCTGGGGTCTGCAGAAGTTGCTCCAGGGATGCTTCTGATATTCCCAAGCAGGATCTGATGAGATTGCCATGCTCTGAATGTAAGAAATGCTCCCAGAAATGTAAAGGGCCACTATGGCTTGGCAGACATAAGCTATGATTCCAAATGGCGCTGTTTGCTCTTCTAAAGTGATTTTCTCCAAGAAAAAGCAATCCTGCCTAAGAAGAGGCTGCCAAGCTGATTCAAGGTTCCTTGGTTATGCATTTATTTACAGAGATGTTGGGTGGCTCCCATGTCAGTAGGATGGCAAAACTGTGCCAGTTTTAATCCAAACGTGAAAGGAGACATGTAAAGCCCTGAACCTGTTTTGGTTCAGGATTCAGCACCTTGAATCATTCCATCAGAGTAAAACCAGGAGCTGATTCACTGCTCTGCTGACACAATAACCAACCTGAGCTTTGCTTGATCATTTATTGTAATATTTATATCTCATCTTAAATTGATTTGATGTGATCCCCTTTGATTCACATCCCACGTGGCTATAGTTCAAAAAAAGAGAGTAACTCTTTAAGTTACCAAATGATGGCCCCATGTTATGCTCCAAAAACAGAGTCATGCATGTTAATTTGCATCGGTCAGCTCTTCCACCCCATGGCACTTGTATAAGGAGAGGTTTTGGGAATTTATTGGAATCACTTCCATGGTGACGGCGTATGAACAGAGCTCTGACCTTGCATTTGCCTTCCTATCTTACGTTTAGACTCCGAACCCGAAGAGCAGGCCCTGACTTTCCCCGTGGGTTTGGAAAGGCTGCAGCTGCGTAGATCCAGCCCTTTCTCTTCTACCCTTAACCTGCAAAACAGCTTTCCGGGGAGATCCTACTTTGAGCTCAGAAACGCGACCCACCACCAAATGACCTTGCATTCCTCTTTACAATCTCTGAATTCGGCCGGTGGGTGAAACCGAGCACGCCGGGCATTGCCTCTTGAGCTGTGCTTCTGGAAGTCCCCCGTTTCTTATGTTTTTGTTGCAGGGCTCACTTCTCGTTTTGTGGCTGGTTTGCTTCTGCATTTCCCTTTTGGATTATTATTTTTTTTTTATTTGGTCCCCTCTTTGCCCCCACCCTTCGCCTCCTGCCCATGATATCTGTGCGAGATGGGACCAAGTGTTCTGTGTTGTCAGTGGCCTGCTTTTTCCACTGCGGAGGGAACTGTCAGGGTGTAGACATGTGTGACATGTGTGTTTCTGTGTAACAAGTTTGTAGATTGTTGAACTGCATAGGAGAAAGCCCAAGGAGGTAGCGGCTATGGACAGGTTGGCTTTCTTATCATGGATGGATCCATATTTAGTTGTCATCATTATAAATTAACAGATTACGTAGTTCAGTGAAATACAACAGTCGAGATCCTACACTGCGGAGACAAACGTACCTAGAAACCCACAGAGTCAGGGGCGTTTTTGCAATTGATGTCACCCTGCGTGGATACACAGAAAGGACTGGGAGGCATGGCAGACTGCTCCAGATGCTTTGCTCACCTGCACCCTGGCTGGCTGGCTACCATTTGCAATGGTCTGGACGCAGTGGTCTGGGCGAATGGAGCCAGCCAGTCAGCCAGCCGGGGTGCAAGTGATCAAAGCATCTGGAGCAGTCTGCCATACCCCCCAGTCCTTTCTATGCATCCGTGCTTTGGCCTCCGAATGGCCCATTCAGGGTCTGGCATGGCTTCTGAGCAAGCAAAAAAGGAGGTGACACCTTTTCTTGCTCACCCAGTAGCAGTGCCGGTCCCACTAGATATACCACCCCACCGGGTGTACATCCACTCTCTGGAGTGTCACACGGTGTGGTCTGAACTCCCTGCACCCCTGCACCGAATTACAAGAGAATTGATCCTTACTAGTCAGTGGGTTGCCCATTGTTGGCATTTGGCAGAAAAGTGGTGTAACCCAACCACCCCTAAACAATGTGAGTGTAGATCTATGTCACACAAGCACAATAGAGGTGAT